CCCCCCCCCCCCCCCCCCACCAACACACCTCTCTTTCCGGAACGAAATTGGTATATCATGTTGAAAACAAGATTTAGATGAATACGTGTAATGCCTCTCTAAACCGAATTGGAGAATAGCAATACCCATTATTGGTCAGATTAAAAATAAATAAATTAAAATCTTGTTCGCCGAAAGGTTGAGTTATGTAAACAAAATCAAATCATGTATAATGAAGACATTCTAAAGTCTAAATGCATGTTGGATGTCGAGCACTACAGTCTATGGCGTCAAACAAGTCATAACAAGAAGACAGATATATGCCTAATTAATAATAGATCCGTAATGGGAAATACAAAAATAGATACAAAGAATATTTTCTGAAAGGATCTCAAAAGCCTCAACTGAAATTCTGTCACCAACATTTCTATCATTAACATCTTCAAGATTCTTACCCACAAATGTGGAAAGATTCTCTATTCTATGCGATAAAGAAAAATTCGAAGAAAACAAATAATCACAAAAATATTATATTTTTCCTCGACCAAAAAAAAAGGTAATGCAAATATAGATCAGAGATTAATTCTTACCTGCCCTTCTTTTCCTGGAGAATAATAGATAAGATTTAAATATATATTGTTGGAAATAGTTTATTAGTTAGTGAAATTGGTCAACTTCGAGCCCCAATTTTTGTGGGACCCGTATTTCGATTTTAAAGGGACCAAGCAAATTCACGTCCAAGTACGCACTGGGAGAGTTTTTACTCGAACTCATTCCTATGATGAGCCAGTGCTTAACTGTCCCGAAATGGGTTAAATTACACTTTTAATGATTTTTATATCTTGATTTGTTCAAGTGTAGTATAGCATAATACTTTTTATGAAGATCGCCTATGTGAGTGAGAATGGTCGCTTCTAAAGAGTTATATGAAGATAAATTCTCTAAAAAACACTTATGAACCAGGAAGTGTCCAAACCAAAATAGACATAAATGTGAGAACCAATTGTGTTCGAAGGGAAATGTGTGACTTCTATTGTTTAGATTTACACAAACGGCTGACTGTTCAAAGTATCTTGATATTGATTGGTCAAGTAAATCCGATAGATTTTACTAGGGAAAGTCCAAAGTCTTTGGTTACTTATCCCGGTACAGTTTTCTTCATTATACTTCGAAAATTATATTAGATGTTGTTTGAAAAATGCTGACATATTTCATTCATGTGAGAGATTGTTGGAAATGGTTTATTAATTAGTGAAATGGGTCAACTTTGAGCCCCAATTTTCGCGGGACGTGTAATTCAATTTTAACGGGATCAAACATATTCATGTTCTACTCCGCGATGTAATTAACGTGATATATTTATTTATCGAAAACCATTTAGAATTGAATGAATTATTTGATATCAAAATAACTCACTTGAAACTATAAACTAGTGAAGAATCCGATTTATTGAAAATCCGATTTGTGTTCGTGTTCAAGTGCAAATGGATCCTTGTACTATATTATCTTTTTGGACAAAATTTATTTAAATTTTTTAGCCAAATTGTAATTAATCAAATTCTTGGGTATTTAATGAAAATAATTTTTATTGGCTTACTTTTGGGTGGTTTTTTGGTATGGTCGTCTGTTAACCAACGTGACATAACAGACGTCTGTTAATAGACGTGGTGTTTTATACTAAACAATGTTGTCTGTTTGAGTTTGGAGGGCTGTCCGAATAGTGACAATTGTTCTGAAAGGATTTGAAGGATGTTCGAATGACCACAAATGAATATATAAATAGACTGCCCTGCTGTCAGAATAATTACACCATTTTCATTGCAAATTTTCTCTCCTCTGAATCTCATTCTCTCTCTTGTTATGATATTGTTCTCAAAGAGAAAACACTTCATTGAGTTCGTTGGAACTCCTGCAAATTGTTATGCTGCTTCCGTAGAAGATGAAATTCATTTTATCCTGGAAAACGATTGTTGAACACCTTTAGCACATGTGAATGCAGCAAATTCATTTAAACGATTGAACACTTTTAAACGATTGAACACCTTTAGCACATGTGAATGCAGCAAATTCATTTTAAGGAAACAACGTAAAGTCAGTGGACTCGAATTGACTTTCTGATCTTGTTGATTACATTGTTACGCTGTGCAAATTACATTATAGTAATTTTGTTAGTGTTCATATATTCAAATTGTTCGAAAGAGAAATTTATACTCCATAAACAACATATATAACAATTAATTGACCCTATTCCCAATAAACCAGAATAATAATTATTTATGGTCCATTGAGAAACAAAATATAACAATTACTAGCTCTACTTTCATTTTAATGGCTCGATACCATGATGAATAGTTATAATTATTGAGCATGAGATACGTGAAATTTTTTTTTGTGATCCCATCAAGGGGTGAAGCTACCACATGATCTGATCTTCCTATGACGATAAGAAAGTTAAGATCATGCTGGCAGTATCAACTGATAATGGTGCACGATTTCTACACATTAATTTTTCCTTTCATTTCCTTCATTGGCGCGCGAATAATTGAGGAGATATACATAAAGAGGGAGAGGGAGAAGGAGATAGATATAGAGAGAGATTTTTCTGCAGTCTAGCTTAGTGAAAATTTGAGAGGGGATTGAATGGATATATACATAGAGAGAGAGAGAGAGAGAGAGAGCCGTGAAGATCCAATTTCTAAGTATCGAGTATTATTTGGTGCATGTGACTTACGTCCCGCCTGGTCGCA